GTGGTTCCCGAAGCACGAGGGCGCTGGCGTCGGCCCACGGCGTCCTAGCGGGCGGGCATGCTGGTGACTCTGCCCTTACACTTTACCAAGAACTTTTTTTCTCTCCAAGAAATGGTACCACGTGTACAGCTAACCGGAAATGTCCAACTGATAATAATGAATGTTTTATAAAATCAGCGCATACTCTTGCAGGACAATCAGAACTGAGAATTCAGGGGAGAGTAAGCAAACGATCTTGTGGGTGTCTGTCTTTATCAAACACCAGCATTCCTCGGGAATCCCAGAACCTCGCAGCCCCAGAGGTCAACAAAATATTTAAAAAAAATTTTTTTATTGATTTCAGAGAGGAAGGGAGAGGGAAAGAAAAGAGAGAAACATCAATGATGAGAGAGAATCATTGATTGGCTGCCTCCTGCACGCCCCACACTGGGGACTGAGCTGGCAACCCTGGTATGTTCCCTTGACCAGAATTGAACCTGGAACCTTTTAGTTGATACCCTGGAAAATTCCACTTTGCATACTGCTATTTGCGTAATTCCACCTTTTCTACTAGATTATAAACCATTTAAAGATGAAGTCTGCACCAGCATCCTACAAATATTAAATAAGGGAGCAAGTGATATCTGATTTGGTTAAAATCTTGATGAATATTAGTAATAGCAAAAGACTGGACATAAATACAGTACCTGTAGGTAGGTAGGGGACTGAGTGAGTAAGCCCTGCATAGCGTGCCTATTACCAATGCACATATGTCAGCTCCCAGTGCAAACTCCAGTGCCTGCTCCGTGGGACGGAGCTGACAGTTACTTTCCTGGCCGGCGGGTGTGATGTTCCGCTTTGTCGGCGAGGGGTGTCGGGGAGACACTGCAGGGGGAAGACTTTTCCTGCTGGTTGCGCTGCGCCGGGCTAGACTGCAGGCTCCTTCCGCTCTCAGCGCTCACACTGCGTGGTGGCCAGCAGCCCCAGCGTCCACTAGCGTCCCCTGGCGACCCCTTAAGTCAGTGGTTCCCAACCTTCTGGCCCTTTAAATACAGCTCCTCATGTGGTGACCCAACCATAACATTATTTTCGTTGCTACTTCATAACTGTCATGTTGCTACTGTTATGAATCGTCATGTAAATACCTGATATGCAGGATGGTCTTAGGCGACCCCTGTGAAAGGGTCGTTGGACCGCCAAAGGGGTCGCGACCCACAGGTTGAGAACCGCTGCCTTAAGTACAAGGAGGATTCCCAGTCGTTCCTCCAGCGCAGCGCCAAGCGGCCTGCCTCTCTGCCACCCGGTCAGCCACAGCTAGTCCTCGCCAGCGAGGCCCAGATCGCGGCCCTGGGGTAGAGTGGGGTCCTCGCTGGGAGCCCCTTCATAGCCTGGGGCTTCTGCCTTGCTTCTTGCCATTCTTCTTTTTAAAAAAAGCATGGTGAAGTTGAGACTCTGTTTTTTATTTCTTTTTAAATATATTTTGTTGATTTTTTTTACAGAGAATTAGGGAGAGGGATAGAGTTAGAGACATGGATGAGAGAGAAACATGGATCAGCTGCCTCCTGCACGCCCCCCACTGGGGATGTGCCTGCAACCCAGGTACATGCCCTTAACCAGAACCGAACTTGGGACCCTTCAGTCCACAGGCCTCGCTCTTTCCACTGAGCCACACCAGCTAGGGCGCTTCTTGCCATTCTCTATAGTCCAGTTTACTTCCCATCAGCCTCCTTGCTACAATCCCGTTAGTGAGTCATTATATTAAACTCTCTGTTCAAAGTACCGTGCGGTTCTCCCTCCTGAACGGACCCTGTAAACACATCCACCCGCAGAGGTAGTGCTGCGCATCTATGGAAGGAACGGGAGCACCTGTGCGGGACCGTGCGCTGCTCTGGGGGC